GATGCAGTGATTGCTTTTGAATAGTTGCCTTTATAAATCAATTGGTAAATAAACTCCTATTTAAGGGCCGTCTAACAAAGACCCAGTGGCACTGATGCCTTCATGATACTGTTATTCTATTGGATCGCCGGCAGATTTTTACCTCAATCAGACAAACGCAACGTGGCGTATCATCATTGGTTGAAGTTCTATGTCATACGCCTTTTTCCGCTTAAGTACGCCAAAAATGTTTACTCATCCCAGAATCTGCCGGCTCGAGGAAATACGGTGAAGCTTGTCTTTGCGATTGTATGGCGGAAAGCGCTTTCCCTATGGACATCAACGCGAGCCAGCTGGTGGGAGACTTGAAGGAGGCGGTTGCGAAAATGCAGAAGTTTGACTTCGCTACCAGCAAATTTTGAGCTCTCTCTGCCGAAGAAAGACGGCGCCTGGCCGACATCTTGCTCGGAAGATATCAAGAAGCTGAAGAAGGGCGAGAAATGGCTCTCATCGAAGCGCTAATGAAGGAGACCAAAAGCTACAGGCAGATGATTCGCTAGAGTTCGAGCTGGAAGAGAACAATCTGCCCACCCCACAGTCGAGACATATTCACGTGCTGGTGGTGGTTCCAACTACCCAATCAGCAAAGGAAAATCGTACGTCATTTTCCCGCACGCCATTTTCAGTGATGATCGAGTCGACAGATACAAAACTATTGCGACTAGAGCAAGCGTGGTGTTCGAAGCGACCAAGCATGAAGTGAAAGATGAAGATGAGTTCTCGGGTTTGTGGGTGTCCCTGTCCTTCCTCCTTGAGTTACACGAATCACCGTCGTGGACTATGCCAATCAAGCATGTGAAAGGCAAGTATAAGCATCAAGGCCAAGCAGACCGATGCGATGGACAGCAAACGCTGCCAGTCCAACCGGCCAACAAACTTAAGTATCGTGAAAAAAATTATTATCCAAAATCCTTCATTTTGCTTAAAACCTCCAAAAATGTATAAAGCCAAATATTTAAATTAATTAATCTCAGAATATTTTTGGAAATGACTAAGATAGAAAGTCGATCCTGATACATGATCAAAATATCATAAGGTCATATCTACGAAGTAGAATAACCTAAGCATAGGCAACATGTTTGCATACGA